CCTTTGCATTTTCATCAAAGCTGAATTTCTTCAACATCTTCTGTAGATAACTCCTCTGTGCAATCTTCAATCTCCCTTTCGCCCTATCTCTCTCGATCTTCATACCTAATATCTTCTTCGCCTCTCCAAGATCATTCATCTCAAACTCGAATGACAGCTCCTTTTTTAACTTTCGAATAGCCAAAGAATTCCTGAAGGTAATAAACATATCATCAACATATAGTAACAAATAGATGTACTCACCATCCTATCGATTATGCATATAAACACATGGGTCATATGGGCTCCTCGTGTACCCTCGGCCAATCATAAAGTCATCGGATCTATTGTACCATTATCGCGGTGATTGCTTCAATCCGTAAAGAGACTTTTTCAGCTTGCACACCAATTCTTCCTTTCTTACAGCTTTGAACCCCATGGGTTGTATCATGTAAATCTCTTCTAAATCTTCATGTAGAATGGCTATCTTAACATCCATCAGGACCAAATCCAAATCCAGCTGTGCCACCAATGCCAATAGAATCTTAATCGACGAATGTTTTACAACAGGTGAGAATACCTTGTTATATTTAGCGCCCTTAAGCTGTGCATAACCCTTGGCAACCAATCTGACTTTGTATCAAATGTCCCTAATAGAAGATCCCTCTTTCTTTGCATACACCAACTTGCATCCAATAGCCTTCTTACCCTTCGGTAGGTTTGCAAGTTCCCAAGTACCGTTCTTCTGAAGAGAGCACATTTCCTCCTCCATAGCTTCCCTCCAACTGATCAAATTAGAGCTAGACTCTACCTCCTTGAATATAGAAGAAACCAAATCATCAACGATCTCTGTTGATAAGGCATATGCAACCATGACATCATTATATCTAGATAGCCGACGAATCACTCTTCTGGGTCTGTTTGCTGCAATGGACTTCTGAACATGACCCAGCTCCTGAGTCTCACCATTCACTGTATCCTCTAAATGCCCGACTGTCATCCTATCTCCTTCTAGTGCCACCACTGTAGGAGCCTCAATGGATACAATGCTATCTAGAGTGGGTGGAGTCACATCATCCTCCATCTGTTGCGATAGTCCAACTGTCTGGTCTCCCTCCACCTGCTGAGGGACTTGAGGCCTTATCATGTATGCCTCATTGAATGTGACATCTCTGCTAATAATTTTCTTCTAGTCATGTGGATCCCACAAATTGAAGCCTTTTACTCCTTCTCTAAAGCCCACAAAGACTGCTTTCTTTACCCTCAGATTCAATTTATCATCACTGACATGGTAATAAGCTGGAAAACCAAATATCCGAAGCGACTCATATTCACTAGCCACCAAACCAGACCAATGCTCCATCGGAGTCTTCCCCTGTATCACAGTGCACGACAACCTATTTACGAGATGACTCGCATAAACCAACACCTCGGCCCAAAAGGATATTGACAATCCACTGTGTCATTATACATCGCACCTTCTCCAGCAAGGTACGGTTCAATCTCTTAGCCACCCGTTCTGTTATGGTGTCTTATGAACTGTGAAGTGTCGCCTAATGCCGTCATCCAAATAAAACTATAGAAACGGATCACTCTTATACTCCCCTCCATTGTCCGAACGAAGAGTCTTCACCTTTTTACCTGTCTGTAGCTTCACTTTCTTTTTCCACTCCACAAAAATATCCAGGACCTCATGTTTATGCTTCATAGGGTATACTCAATTTCTCTTGGAATAATCGTTAATAAAAGTGATAAAATAGTTGGCCCCACCAAGTGATGTGTGCTTAGAAGGACCCCAAATATTTGTGTAAATATAGTCTAATATATCTTGGGTATTATGAACAGTGGTGCCAAACTTCACTCTCGTTTTCTTCCCAAGTGCACAATGCTCACACAGCTCCATCTTGCAGGTCTTCGTACCTTTCAATAGCCTATGTTTTGCCAATGCTGTAGGGACTTATCACTAGTGTGTCCTAAACGTATGTGCTATAAACTAGTAGTGTCCTCCTCTGTAGTAATAAAAGCTGCCAGACCCCCTGTAACTGTCTTGTCCTTCAAGTAGTCTAGGTTATTTTCCCTAACACTTCGCATCACCATCATGGAGCTCTTCGTGACCTTCAGAGTTGCATTCTCCAAGATCACCCGATAGCCAGTTGCCTTCAAAGTTTCAAGTGAAATAATGTTCTTCGTTAACTACGACACGAACCTTACTTCCTTTAGCTCTCGGGTCACCCCGTCACATATACGGATCCAAACTGTACCAATACCACTAATAGCGCATACATGATCATTACCCATAAGCATGACATCCCCTCTTTTCAACTCCTCAAAGCTGGAGAACCGATCCCTCCTAGGACAAATATGATATGTAGCATAAAAATCCATCATCCACTCTGTAGAGTCAGGGTAACAAACTGATGGTAATGCTGAGCATGAAAGCCTGAAGAATTCGTATCTGAATTATCGTCACTAGCCTTGATAATATTCACTTCCGAAGCTTGTACAACATTCCCTTTATTCTTTTCGGCTTTATCTTTTAACTTTGGGCACTCGTTCTTCTAATGTCCTTCTTCTTTATAAAAACGACATTGGTTCCTACTAACACTCTTATGGCCACCTTTATTCCTCGATTTTGAGCGGTTGGACTGCCAACGGTTTGAAGTACGGTCTCGAACTACTAATGCATCTCCTGATACCTTCTCGGAGGGTTCGTTATCACTTTTCCTCAATTCATAATTTATCAAATCTGAGGTCACCTCATTATAACTAATAGTAGTTCTACCATTGATCATAGTTAGGACAAAAGTACCATAATCATTCTCCGTCAACGAACACAAAAGTAACATCGTCTTACCTTCATCCTCAACCATGATATCAATATTGGCCATATCTAAAAGCAACTTCGTAAAGTTATCTACATGCTCCCTAATGAAAACTCCCCTCTTCATATTGAACTAGTAAAACCTCTTCTTCAAACGAAGATGATTCTTAATGCTTTTAGTAAGATACTTTTCATTGAGCGTTTCCCATAATTTCTTCGCCGACGTCTCTTTCATCATATCATAAATTAGATTCGGCGTCAAGCATGACCTAATAACTCCACAAGCCCTAATGTTCATCGTCTTCCAAACCTTGTCATTCATATCATCTAGTTTCTCTTTTAACTCAAGAGAATCCTCTAAATTTTGTGCATCCAACGCATCCATCACCTAGCACCTCCATAAACCAAAATTGATCTTGTCATCGAACTTTAGAACATCAATCTTTGTATTATTGATGCTCAGACTCTATATTGCCTTCGAACGAGACGATCCCGAAGTGCTTGTTTCACCCATGTTGTAGATCTAACTCTTCAAATAAGAATCCTTCAGCGAATCCTTCGAACAAGCCCCAAGCCAAGACCTGTGCTCTGATACCACTTGTTGCGCACGGCGAAAATTTTGGCAGCACTTTTGGTGCACAACAAGAGAGTAAGATCACAACTAAATCCCTATTTTTCAAAGGAAATAAAAATCGACAGTGATATATCTCAACAAAGTGGGATATACACTCTTCCTCTCATCAGTTCTAGGACTGACTTGTCGAGGGAACCTAACAAGCTATTACAAATCACAACAAGACAAATAATTTTACGTGGTTTGGCAAGTTACCTACGTCTACGGGGTGAGGAAGAGGGTGGGGTGGGGTGGGGGTGGGGGTGGGATCTACTATTAAAGAGGAAAAGTATACGAATAGGGTTTACAATAACACAAGACCTTACAAATAAAACCCTCAATTAACTCCCTGTTTTTCTTCTCAAAAGGACAACCGCCAAGCTGTTGCACGCCCTCTGTGATTTTTCTCCTGCACTTGCACAAAGCCCTAGGAACCGATGGCAAGCTATATATACAGCTTTGGGAGAGAAAATCGGTTCGTGGGCTCAAACAGAGATATCAGCTATCTCTTCATGTGGGTAGGTGGACCCCACGTCACGCCCCACGTTCACACAAGGCTGAACATCATTGAACCTATATATGATCTAGTTACTTAATATATATTGACGAAAGGTTAACTCGTCAATGATTTATGATGTTTACAAGTTGACAGGTCAACTAACAAAATAAGCCACCAAAAAATAGAGTGATAAGCCTCGGTTTTGAATTTGACTAGCATGATTGGTATCGTTGCACTTCTCAATTTATATATTCAAATAAACTCTTTTAACTTTACTTTCACCACGGGAATTCATAAAAGAATCATTATAAAATTTAGTAATTATAACTTAGACTACAATAGTTAAAATTTTCATTGCACTAATGATACCTAGACTACAACTGTTAAATCTCTAATCGCACTTCTCAAGAGAGGACTCCATAATTTTGTGTTTTGTAGTAGTATTAAGATTTTTTAGCCTTGTATTTCAACCTGGAAAACATCTAAAGAGTTAGAAACATAAAAGAAGCAGTGACACAGAGCTCCTGCTAGTAAACCAGCTAGCGCGAACGAGTCAGAAAAAGACCCAAAATTCTCATCGCTTGCTGAACCACCATAAATCTGCATCTTTGTATCTAGTATTTATTTTTCTGCCATATTGTTGTGGCTTGTTAGTTTGTTCGAATTTGCTCGATCTTCTTGTTGTTTTCTTATTGTTAAGTAAATTGTTTGCCCTAGTTGGATGGAGTAGATCTAATCGGAAGATCTGCGCATGTTTTCGCACCGGTTTTCAATAATTGGAATCAATGCTTATTGCCTGTGCATTGTAATTAAGACTATTATCGTCTAGTTATAGCATTTCTCTTAAAAAAAAATTTAATTGTTAGTCACTTAGCTGACTACTTCGAATTTTTTAGACATCCGAGCTCTTATTACGATACTCCTCATCTAATTCCTTTGGGTGAGCGATTTTGTATTCAAATTCTCATTCTTTTTCTTCCTTCACCAGAAAACAAAAACTCGTAGCTTACATTAAAAGAAAGAACAGGAGAAGCATCTCAAAGAGACGAAAGAGTAAGTCTTCATGTAGGATTTTTGTTTAAGCCGAAGTTAATAGGTAAACAACCCTACTGAAGGAAAGAAATTGTCTTTCAATTCTAATTGACCCCTAGCTACAGTATGCACATATTTGCCCCTAAAATTTTAATAACACAAAACTTACAATTCTACAGAAGAAGACTATGTCATTTACTTAAATTGACGAGCATCATGTCACCAACCAAGCCACAGGCACAAATCCAAGCCCCTGATTCGAAAATTCACATGAGCTTCTTCACAAAAATCAAAAAAACAATCCCCGTGTACCTCCCTTTCCCCTGGCCGGCAATAGCTCCAATCGGCACAATGGACACGTAACCTTCCCCATATCAATCCATCGATCAATGCAATGCTTATGAAACAAATGCCCACAGTTTCGTAGATCTCTCACCTTCTCCTTCAATCTAAATCCAGTCAAACAAATCGCGCACATTGGCTCTTCATGATTATCGAAATACCCATAATTTTTCTTCAGAAACAGGCCGTAGGCTGCAACTGGAAGTGTGCTCTTAAGCGAAGGAGGAGTACTCATCGCAGGAGGCGATGAGACCGAGTTCTCTATAGCGCGATCTTCCCACGGAGGGGGCTGTAGTTCGGAAGAAGGGTAGAGATGTAAATAGTAGAAGATAACGGAGATGATATAGCCGACGAGATCAATAGCACGGAGGAATGATATCAGAGGTTTTGGGATATGAATGGTATAAGAAACGTAAGTGAGGTCCATGAATAGATTATAAGAGGGAGTTGGAGTATGAAAGATTATAGAGAGGGGGAGAGGGTTTATTTTATATGCATAGAGAACGGAAACTTAGAGAGAGAGTAGGAAATGTTGGTGAGTGATTATATAATTGCAATAATATGATCGAGCGTCCGTGAAGGAAACTTAGAGAGAGTAGGCAATGTAGGTGAGTGATACTAATAATATTATTATCGGATTACTGTAGTGTCCGTATTGAATTTCTTTGTCGTTGTTGTGATTATAATAGTATGTCATTATTAAAAGACGCCAATTACTGCCCTTTAGGCTGGGTGATCGATCAGCCGTCAACGAACCTATTGAGTGAACTAGAGTGACTAAGAGTGGAGCAAGATTTTGTCGCCTCTTCTTGTGCTCTTTCATTAGAAGCGGCTTCTTTTCTGGTGGTTTTTGAATTTAAAGAGAAATCAACTATAAAATTATAGGATGCAGATCCGCACCGCTATCAAAAGTACTAGAGAGACCAATATTATATTTTTATCATTTTAGTACGCAGTTGTGATCTATATCTAAGTAAAAATTAGGAATTAGTGCAGTTCATAGAGGGAATAATGAGTGCAAGATTTGTTGAAAGTAAACTTAATTAATTACCTTGCGAATTGGAAACGCCATTTAGTTACTAGAGGAGTCAAATGCATGAACATATTAGATGCATGAATATTTTTGGAAAATTCAAGAGTTTTTGTTAAGATGCCTAAGAGTCATTGTAGTATTATACATATGTGATCTGTTTTTGTAAGTTGAAACATTCCAAGAAAGGTCAATAGACTATTTTATCCCCCAAATTATTTATTTATCCTAGGCAAAATATTGTTACCAAATTGGTATCAAAGTTAAGATAAACTTCAATGGAGTGACCGCGTTTGTTACTCCTAAACTCATGAGAGAATATTATAAAAATTGGTGGTTTCAAATGAAGGCTCTATTAGTATCGATAGATTGTTGGGATATTGTGGTGAAAGGCTTTGAGAAGCCCCAAGATGAAGTCATGATGAGCCTAAAAATATGCAAAGTTGCAAAAGCACAACTATCTAGTATAATACTTAAGATATCGATCAACGAGGAGGAAGACTATTAGAAAGTGAGATCAAAAGGGGTTTATAGATTGTGGAGGAAACTAATGAGAAAGTAAATAAAAGTGGCATGTGTTTTTGATAGAGGGAGATTTTACACAAAAATAAAAGGCCAAATCAAGATGAGAGAATGAGAGAAAGAGAAGAATGAGAGAGTAGGAAAAAATTGAAATAAAAAGAAAACAACAAGAGTAAAAATATGAGAGAACAAAAATAAAATTCAAATAAAAAGGAGAATCAAATTACGACAAGAAATTAAAAGAAGAAATAATCAAAAAGGTAAAGGGAATCAAGAGAGAAGAATAGGAATCTAGGATTGAATTCACTACTTAATTTTGACCTACATTTAAGAATTACTCTCTTTTATTCGTATATTACTTTAGAATTATTAAGTATAGACTATCAAGTTACTTAAAATAAGCATAACCTATCAATCATGTCCAAGCAATATTATTACTCATGAAAAGAAAATAAATAACTAGATAATAAACCTAGAATTAAATAAGTATAACCGATAAACCACTCAAGTAAATCATAGATTATTAAACTTTTTTCTTACTAATTAGTTCTCTAGTTGATTATCCTAATATGATCATTTTAAGCATAGAGAAAGAAAATAAAAACATATAAAGGAATTAAATTAGCTTTATCTAATCCTACATTTCCTACAAATTAGTTACTCATTTTATAAAATAAAAACAAGAAAAAATATATACTAGAAAATATAAAAGATAAGAAGTAAATCTAAACTACAAAGCAATAAAAGAAAGAAATAGAAAATCAAAGCATAAAAGAACAATAAATAAATAAATAAATAAATCTACCCTACAAAAGTAGAAGTAAATTTACACTACAAAGCAATAAATCTACTCTTCCAAATATGAAATTAAAAATATGAAATTAAACCTAAAATATGCAATTCTAAACCAAGTAAATGAAAGAGGAAAATAAAACATACATTCAAGGGGTTGGCCTCTTAGAAAGCAAATCCTCATATTCATCATCAAAAGAGAAGAAGAAAGAAAATAAAAAAAATTAAAAACTTTATTTATTACAAACTTAAGTTATAATTTTTGGAAGGCTTTCTCAACTAAGAGCGGCCCTCCTCTCCAAGTGGAGTTTTTTTATTAAAATTTTTAAACCCACCCCCCCCCCCCCCCCCCCCTTTTTCCCTTTATTTATAGCCTACACCCTTCAACCTTAGCCCTTAGATTAGCTATGGTTTTGAGAGAAGAAACATCATCTATTGATTGATTCTATTACAATCTAATTGATAGGCTCATTGATAGGCTCATTGATAAGCTCATCAATTACTTTGTAATAGAAGTGTAACAACTTTGTTGACTTTGTTGACTCCGCCTTCTTTGGAATTTTTGGCTTCTTGTACACTTTAACAAGGTCTTGAAAAATAAGGAAAATTGGTCTATTTGATATTTTATTCTTTAAATTTTTATTACTTATAAATTAAGATAAAAAGTATTATTAGCTGATATTTTATTTAATAGAGTAGATAATAAAGAAAATGAAAAGGAAAGAAAAAAAAACATTCTAACTCACTTTCCTAAGAATCACGGTTGTATTTAACACATACAACAAGTCTTTAATCCCCTAGATTATCCTAGTGGACGAGTTGTATTCTCGTGAGTGTTTGCAGTGAACATACTCGATAATAAAGTTCAGTCAACTTGTTAATTTTGAAGAAGTAAATATATAATTTAATTCATTTGAGATCTTTAATCAATTTAATAAGAGTTAGTTTATTCTTTAGAAAATATTTTTATGCATAACCTAATGTCAGATTTTGATGTTATCCTATAATGGATTAGTTAGCATCTCATCATGCTACTGTAGACTGTTTGAGAAAACTAATAAAGTTTAAACCAAATGGAAGTGTGAGTTTTGTTTTTCAAGGGGAATGTAGAAGACCAATCACACACCTAATCTCATTTATGAAGGCTATCAAACTGTTGTGGCAGGGCTGTAGTGGATATTTGGCTTGTGTGAAAAGTGACCATTGAATGAGAAGGAGCAATCAAAGATATTTGTTACGAGAGATTACTCGGATGTCTTTCTAAAAGATTTGCTAGTATTTCCTCGAGACCACGAGATAGAGTTTACCAAAGAATTGGTCTGAGGTACCACTCCTATATCTAAGGCCCCTTACAGATTGGCACCAACTAAGATGAAAGAACTTAAGGAGCAACTTTAGAAGTTATTGGATAGATGATTCATCTGACCTAGTATGTCTCCATGGAGAGCACTGGTCTTATTTGCGAAAAATAAAGATAGGAGTATGAGACTCTATATAGATTATAGAGAGCTAGATAAGTTGACAATTAAGAATAAGTAGTCACTCCTAAGGATAAATAATCTATTTGGTCAGCTTTAAGGAGCTTAAAAATTTTCCAATATTGGTTTAAGTTCAAGGTACCTCCAGTTAAAGATTAAGCTGGATGATATACCAAAGACAACATTCGAGACTCGCTATGGTCACTATGTATTTCTGGTGATGTCCTTTGGACTGACTAATGCATCAGCTGTATTTGTGGATTTGATGAACTAGATATTACAGCTATATTTAGATCAATTTGTGGTGGCTTCATCGATGACATCTTGATCTATTCCAAGTGTTACCAAGAGCATAAAGAACATTTGAGGATTGTATTGCAAACCCTAAGAGAGCAACGACTATACTCAAAGTTTAAAAAATGTGACTTTTGGTTGGAGAATGTGATGTTTTTGGACCATGTGATCACTAGAGATGAGATATCTATGGATCCAGAGAAGGTTGAGGCTAATGCGAAGTGCCCACGTTCCATCTTAATGATTAAAATTTGTAGCTTCCTGGAATTAGCAGGATATTATAGAATATTTGTCAAAGGCTTTTCCCAGTTAGTAGCCTATGACGCTTCTGGTTTTACATAAGGCTGCAGTCTAAGGTGAATCCAAAGATGTCAAACCTACCATGCACCCATACTATGCAATAACACGTTTCATCATCACAGTAATATCTCTGTAGTGGAATCAAACAACATGTACGTAGGTACAAAACAGGAAAATGAAGGTAATAATGTAATGAACATGATATATAAAGAAGAGATATCTAGAAATAGTCAATAATCATGTTCCCAACTGAAATAAATAAAATACAACTGATACCGGAACAAATGTAAAATGTCTCAATACATAGAGTCAATGGAAATGCTATTAAGACAGTCTGCCTTTCCAAAAATGAAATACAACTCTAAATGTTTAAAAATAAATAATAAACTACTGTAGAGTATAAATAACTACTAATGTAAATAAAGATGGAGATTAAGTCGATACTCCATCAACCTGCAATTCTCCGTACGTTTGACTCGCTGCCTGAAAAGAGGGGAAATAATGAGCGTCAAAGCTCTAGCGAGATCATCTCCACCATCTCTAGGGGAGGGGGTTAGGAGTATATATGAAAATAAGTTAGTACATATAAATATAAAACCATCTATCTTTTATGAAATGCAATATATGTGTCACTATCTTTTATGAAAAATCTCGAGAATATATGTTACTCACTGAAAAACCCTAATGCCACTAGGAAAGAACCCTAGAAGGGGGTGAATAGGGGTTATGCTAATTTTATCTGATTTAATGCCAATTAAAAACTATTAATAAATATGTCCTAGCAAGATAGGTATTCGATTGAATTAAAGCAAGGATATATATGCAAAGGGCAAAACAAACAAGAAACAAAATAAACAAATAGTGGACACAAAGAGCAAATTAAACACAATAATATGATCAAAAGGAGTTCGGTCCTTCCGACCTATGTCTCTGCTCCCCACTCCCGGGGAGAATCCACTATCACGACACACCCAGTTTGGAAGCCAAAACTTCTCTACACACTCAATTTTCTAGTTTACCGAAAACTCTATAAGACACTCACAATGTACATACACAAACTAT